TTTGTCTCAGTCTTCTACAGTATGACCAGTTTACCTCTGGATACTCAGCCCCTTGGAAGGATCCTGATCAATGACATRGACAGTGAGAYTGAGTGCATGCTCAGCAGGTTTTGCGCATCAGATCATGTGAAACTGAGTGGTGCTTGTGACACAAAAGCAAAAGGATGGGATGGCATCCAGAGCTAACTGGACAAACCTGAGAAACAGGTACACAAGAACTTGATGTAGTTCAACAAATCCAAGTGCAAGGTGCTGCACATGGACCAGGGCAATCCCAGACATGAGCATGGGAAGTGAACTCATTGAGATTATCCTTGCCGAGGWGGGCTTGTGGGTTCTCATGGCTGGAAAGCTGAACATGATAACAGTGTGCACTGYCAGCCCAAAGAGCCAAACGTGTCCTGGGCTGCATCCAAAGCAGCGTGGGCAGCAGGGAGAGGAAGGGGATTGTGCCCCTCTGCTCTGCTCTGCTCTGCTGAGACCCCACCTGGAACACTGCACCCAGCTCTGGGAACCCAGCACAGGAGAGACAGGGAGCTGTTGGACACAATCCAGAGGAGGGTGACAAAGATGATCAGAGCTATGGAGCACCTCTCCTATGAAGAAAGGCTGAAGCAGCTGTGGTTGTTCAACCTGGAGAAGATTTTAGGGTGACCTTATAGCACTCTCCTGTACCTAAAGGATGCTGGAGAAGGACTTTTGACAAGGATAAGTAGTAGCAGGACAAAGGGCAATGGCTTTAGCTTGAAGGAGAGTAATTTTAGATYAGATATTAGGAAGAAATTCTTTAGGCGAGGTTGTGAGGTAACACGCTACACAGGTAAGATGAGGATGCCCCATCCCTGAAAGCGTTCAAGGCCAGGTTGGATGGAGCTCTGAGCAATCTGTTCAATTGGAAGATATTCCTGCTTATGGCAAGGGGTATTGGAACTAGATGATCGCAGGATCACAGAATCATTTACATTGGAAAAGACCTCTGAGGTCATTGAGCCCAACCTTTGACCACTCCCCAACTGTCAACTACACCACAGCRCCAGGGTTCCCAGCCAGTTGTTTCTTTACTACCTCCAGGGATGCTGAACCTCCAATGCTTAACAACCTTTTCCGTGAAGAACTGCTTCCTGATGTCCAACCTGAACCTGAGGCTGTGTCCTCTTGTCCTRTCACTAGCWATCTTGCCTCSTTTCAGGCAGTTGCAGAGAGCAATAAGGTCACTCCTGAGCATCCTTTTCTCCAAGCTAAACACCCCCAGTTCCCTCAGCCTCTCCTCTCTGAACATAAAAGTTTCCTTCCAACCCAAACCACTCTATCATCTCTAGGAGAGAAGACTGGCATTCATAGATAGCTGTGATGGACTGAAGAGCATAATGGAGAAAAGTATTTTCTTTCAACATGGGCAGTGTCAAGCTAGAGGGGGAGGGAGCTGTCCTGTGCAGTGAAAAAAGAAACCTACTTGAACTCCTTTGTTACACAGTGACTTTTAAAAATCAGTGTGTTTTCAATGAAGGGAGAAAAGAAACACATCTAGAGCAGATTAAATAGTTTAGCACATGGTAGTGTTAACAGGTCAAAAGATGACTGTTTTGCAGGAATATTCCATGTCAATGGTCCGTTTGCTCTCCTATATACACAGGCTGAACTTAGACTTTCCATTTGCCTTGGTGCCTGAGATAAAAGAACCTATGGATTCTTTAGATTAGAAGAGAATATTAGAGAATAGTCATTTAATTCCTCTATTGTGCTATAAAATAYAATGAAAAGTTTACATTAGAGAAGTCATTCACATCATTTTAAAGATGTTAACGTACAAAATTGTGCGTTTATTTAGTTTTAGTTTTCCTGTAATAAATACATATATTGCTAGACGATCTTTCAGGAGSAAATGTTTTGCAAATTGAAGACTAGATAACCTTTACAGAGCAATGATCTGTTAGGTCTACTTGGAAATACAGCTGTGCTTTGCCAACTCCTTTCCTTATTTCATTCTAGCTTGGAGTGGTTGGTCTGTGCTTCACCCACAGGCAGAGAAATAAACAGCAAWCTGTGCTGCAGCTTCATATCACTCAGTTACTCCTTCCAGTCATTACTTTTAATGAATTGTTTGCTCCCGAATGGAGCAGTAAAGGCAGATGATTAGAGTAGATTGTGKCCTGGATCATGCAATGTCACTACTATGCTTTGCTTAGTGCAATCATCAAGAAACTGACTGTGGAGGAACAATCGATGGTCATTCGAGGAACACACACACAAATAAAACCAAACWGAAACCAAATCCTGGGGGACCAAGACAAGTGTAACTGTTCTGGGAAAAATCTAGACAACACATTGAGACAGACTAGAGAATAAAACACCTGGACCTACCCTATCTTTTTAAAAAGTATGGAAGAGACCATCTTCTGTTTTTCCCTCTGTGACACTCAGCATAGTATCCTCAGCTCTTGACTAAGAAGGAAACTTGGACAAAACTATTTTGCAAGAAAGAACTAATGTGTCTGGGAAATATAATGAATACGACAAAGATCATCTGTTTAAATCACTAGAAGGCTTAAACTCATRTACTGATTACAGTTTTGGGAAAATACTTGGGTGAAATTTTTGGAAATTGTTGTGGCATTATGCAATAATTTTTTTTGAAGTACATGTTTTTTACTGATTTCTGATGCACTTAAGTCCAGTCTTTCAAAGTAATAAATATTTACATTCGTAAATAAAGGGAGAAGATTTGGTCCCATGTGACACTTTTTGTATCCCCTCTGATTGTTGTTGCTCTTTTTTGTCATAGGTGATAGGGGATATATTTTTCCTTGCACTGGCAGTACATCCAGTCCAAGGTTGTTTAAGCAACCTTTAAAAGCCTCCCAAATACCAACATGCTGAACATAAAGGAAGCTCTAAAACAGAGCCATCAATCTGCTTGGAGTGACTTCCAGAGTGGGAATGAAGCCAACCACTGGGTGCAACAGCAGAACAAAAATAGGAATGTAAGAATCAGTCCTACAGCTGTGAGATATGCCATGGGATATCTGGTGAGGGGATTTCCATGAGATACACCATGAGATGTGTCATGAAGGGGATAACTGTGGGCATGATGGCCTGCTGATGGGGTGACAGGTCATCAGGAGAACCGTAGCTGACCYTAACTGCTGCAATTGGCCAGGTGGAAGAGGGAGTGCTACCAAGGTGTCCCTGTTGTGTTGTGTTSTGTTCCATCCCTGCATAAGACACACAGGTTTTGTAATCTCTCTCTCTGTAGCCCTCATTACCATATAAAGTGGCTGCCACCTCCCTGCATGCTGGCAACAACAAAATATTTGGCTGCAGTCTCACCTTCACTTCTCCCAAATGTATAAATCGGTATTTGAAATCCCTCATGGCAAAGGGTGAGAAAAGACCACCTTGCAGACAAATCAATGGATGTGCTCCTCTCTCCTCCCCAAAGCAGGGACACCTCCTTAGCCAGGTTTGCACCTCCAGCTGTGTCACAGCATGCCTGGGAACACTTGTACAAAGAACTGAACCCTTTCTTCGTATCCAGTGAACCTGTTTCTGGAAAGCTAGCAAGAAACTGTAACATGATGCCACAATAAACTGAACTATTGGTGAACCTGGGTTCTTGAAAGTTCTTACTCACCTTGGCCAGACTGTGCTGAATCAATGAACTGCACTACTTGTGACTCTGTGATGGTAAATGAGACCAGACTTARAGTGTAACCCACACCACTGGTGCATCTGGGATCTCACTGGATGTGACTGGACTCAGTGACAAGTCAGCTSTAACCAGAAATCAACACAGCCCCTCTGTTCTCTGGGGACCAGCTGCAAACCAAGGGGATTTATTTTCTGTCAGCATCCTCTACTCTTTATACARCAAATACACAGCCAGGTCTCTAAACTAAAAACCAGTTTACCTGACCTCTTCATTCAGGCAGTATCACACACAGATTGTTGTTTTTGCAATTACATATATATTCACAGGAGGCAGGGAAGACACCAACATGGAAGTTTAAAACTAACTTTCATCAAAATACAATAAAAAACAGAAGCCAGATACCTCAAAGTACTGTGATAGTGCTAASTGCCTATGTTATCTGGCATAGGAAAGCAAATGGCTGGATTGCACTTTTAGTCATCCCTATTCATTCTCTTCCCATTTAATGTTGTAATTCAGACCTGTACTCAACTGGCACTGATATTAATTACTGCTCAGTAACTCATATAGGGGAAAAAAGGGTATTTCATCCACTTATCTAACTTCTTCTCATGTCAGTACTTGTATTTGCATGGCATTTACAGTCTCTGAGTGAGATCAAGGCTGCATTTAAGGACTGATGTGTGTGTATCAAAACCAATTTATTAACAGACATTTATACACAAACACACACACACACACACACACACACACACACACACACACACACACACACATATCCTAATCATATGTATCCATCCTTTGAGTCTAATTGGTCATAAGAAATAGAGGCAAGGAGGAAGAAAATACTTTTCCTGGAAAAAAAAAAAAGGTAGAAAAATCTTAACTGAAGCTTGGAAGTATAAATCATGCTATAGGGGACAGGATGGCAGTAGTATTTAGCAGGTCCTTGACCCATCATTGAGAATGTTAYTTTATTTCAGCTTTCAGCATGTTCTTCCATTGCTAGAATATTGAGAAAAAAGTGTTTCTGTAATTCCTTAATTTAAATTCTTGTTATACATCCTATAGAATTTTAGTAGTAGAGAGAATAAATAATACAAGATAGATATATTGCATTCTARTATCCAGCTGAAATAAAAAGAAAGTAGGAAAAGAAAAAAAAGACTATGAAGTCATAAAGCAGAAAATGAAAGTGGTGTCATAAGCATACACAAGGGGGAAAACCTTAAAAACCAAAAAATGATGAAAGAAAACTTCTCCTACAGAACAATTAAATGTCAAGATTTGAAGAAATGGGAGTCTACAAATGACTTTAAAGCACCCAGCCTAGCACGCCGAATTTATACACAGGAAAGGAGGAACATCAGAGCTTGTCTTTAGCATGAATGCTTTTGGCTTGGTACACATTGGCCTCATGCTGTCATGCACTCCCATCATCTCCAGTCTTCAGTGCAACCACCTCCCTTTGCAGCAGAGAAAAGTGATCAGGAGCAGCCTGCAACTTTTGGATAAAATGGGCAAAAACTTTCCTCAACAATGTCTAAGAGACAAAACATCCTTCAGATTTCCTACACGTGTTCTGCAGCCCAGGCAGAAAGAGAATGTCAGAATTGCCATTGAAGAGATCTTCCAACATATTTTCTATATCTTCAGCAAAAACCTGACTCTAGCTTCTTGGGATGGGACAGCTGTGGATCAGTTCCAGAATGGACTTTATGGGCAGATTGAGCAACTGGAGGCATGTGTAATCAAAAATCACACCCACTACCGTCCGAGCAAAGAAGACAGCAGGCTGAAACTGAAGAAATACTTCCAAAAAATAGACTGTTTTCTTAAAGACAAACAACATGACCTGTGCTCTTGGGAGATCAGCCGTGTAGAAATGAGGAGATGTCTCCAATTGATCGATAAGGTGACAAGGAAGCTTAAAAACTAAGGTACAAAGATTTTAACCACACATAATTTATAGTACTTATAAATAAATATTATAAATAATATTTATTATTTGTTCTATGATCTATCTTGTGGCATGGTCCCCAGTTAATTTTGRTATTTAATTATGCTTCTGAAATTTACTTTTGGAAATGTGATGCATTATTCAATGTAATGTAATTTTTTTCCTTGGTAAGCAAGGTGTCTACTCAAGCTATAAATTAATCCATATGAATTTTCAGTGAGGGGCTCACCCTAGGAAGAGATTACAACCTTTGATAGATAGTGGCACCTTGCAGTATTTTCTGCTGAGAAAACATGCAGCTACTTTCCTGCTCTATTTCCCCTGTGTGCAGAGAATCACATATCTGTGAATGAACTACACATCCTGAGCCTTATGTGTGCTAGATTTGTACTGCTTCAGTGGTAGGTTTTCTCAACCTGATTTAGGTTGAGAAAATGCATTTTGCTTTAAAAGTATGTATCCTCTTTTCCAAGCATGTACTTTTTTTTTTTTTTTTTTTTTTTTTTTTTTTTTTTTTTTTTTTTTTTTTTTTTTTTTTTTTGCATTCGAGTCATTCTAACATTTGCTTTGTTCAAAGATGTAAAGTAATTCTAGAAGGATTTGTCTACATAGCATATTTTTTTCAGTAGTTATGGCTTCTGTAGTAACTTCCCAATTGGACAGTGTTACTTTTAATTGAAATAYATTTGCCTTTAACTATTTGGGGGTGAGGCTTTTATTCCTTACTGCAATGTTTCCAGTTCACTTCAACTTCTTTTATAAGATTCTTTGAAGTAACTTTTCTATGTAAAAGTACCCTGAAGCCACATCTGCCTGTGGCACTCTGCTTGCTCATGGGTGTATTCATCCTGGCTACTGAATCTCAAACATCACGATCCAGTGCTGTGTTTTATTGCTGCATGAAATTTGCCTCTTTCCCCTGCTCACAAATTGAACCACAGAAATGTTGGTACTCCAATTAATTCTCCCTCCAAAACACACAGCCATCAGTRATAATTACAATATAATCAAATTCTTTAAAAAACCTTGCAATAAACTGTGCCTGGATTTTACCCTTGGGAAATTGTCCCTGGGTAACTCCATTTGACATGGTGTGCTTTCCCTAATCACTTGCTGTATGTCAGTAATGGGGGAACAGAGCTACATCAAGGCTCTTTTACCCAAAGAATATAGTTAAAAGTTTGCTAAAACCCCAGCAACTTTAAAAAACAGTAAGAAATCCCTCTGTGGCCGCCCTGATGTACATTTGGCCTTGGATTCCGGGTCTGGCATAAAGGAACAGAGGAGAGAGCATTTCTGTGGCTCCCTAAAGAGGGTGGTGTTGGTTTTGTAGGGCTGAAATTGTCAGAGGTTGGTTTATGCATCAGGTTAGGAATCACCATAAAGCTTTTCCTGATCAGCACCATTCAGAAGAGCATCACTGGAAGGGGAGATAATAAAAAGGTGCATCTCAGCAAAAAATGGGTTGGTATGAACAGCAGCCATGGTGCACGGGGTCTCAGGTACCGTATCCATGACATGGGTCTCTTTTGCAGGGTGCACATACTGTCCTCTCCACCACTCACAGATGCAAGSTAAAGAAGAGATGGGACACATGGGTATCATGGATGAAGCTGAAATACCAGAAATAAAACCAGCTAGCAACTTCACCATGATCAAGAAAAGCAAAAAAAGAGGAACAAACCAGAGTAAATCAGAGTAATTTTCCTACCTGGTGACACCCTGCTACAAATGTAACAGCAAAATATGTRTTTCTTGGGCTTTGTAACTAACAGCACTTGAAAAGGATCCACCTTGGGACTGTTTCAAATCTCATTTCTGTTGCTTGTTTGTGTTTTGTGCTTCTTCAAACCCGTATAATRAAATGGCATTCAGCCTACTTACCCTTCTGGTTCTGATATACTTGGGTGGGTTTGGCAAGGCAGTAAACTGTTATGAAATGGTCTTAYTTTTTATCAGAATTTGGAAATAACATGAAATTTTTTCAGCTGCTCCCTTGTGAGGGATTCCAGTTTTTATTGCCTTAGTTGTCTGCAATGGGAACATGTTAATTTGTGGCCCACTAATTGTTCAGAAACTCTCRTTTAAGTTTCCTTTTTAAATCATAGATGTCCTTAAAAATCTCATCACCAAATAAAAATCTTTTTTGACGTATTTCAATCAACACAGTACTTGGCAGTGCAGAAAAAAAACAAGAACACAGAATGGGCACTAGAGGGCAAAATGAAATTAGAGACCAATGTARGAAATGTAGGTGAATGTACATAGACTTTGGCAGGACGGTGTTTCAGCTCTTTATGAACTTATCAATAATATGCTACTGGTCCACAGAAGGAAATTTCAAGAAAATTTAACTATTAGTTTAAAAAAAAACAAGAATCTCAGAGATAATGGACAGGAGCTCAGAAAGCAGTGTTTGATTTCAACTACTTTTTGGTCATCTGTGCGGCAACAGAAAATATTTCTATTGAGACAATATCTAGAAGACACATTTAAAGATGGGTACCCTGGAATAGCCATAGTTACTCAAAAAAATAAAGCAGGAAAAGAAAATTGCAAGCCAATATGTCTTTGTTTTATTCTTACTTTAAGGAAAGGTAAGGATTCTTAAGGGTAAGGGAAGAAAGCTGAAGATTCAGAAGATCATCTCTCTTCACCTTGCCCTTGTAACATTTTGGAGCAGTATGTATTTCATCACCATTGTGTTACCAGGTCAGCTGTGCATTATGGCCCTGGCTAGCTGAAAACCTCCTGTTAGTATTTTTCTAGAAGTTAAACAAATGACATTACTTTCAAATGGAAATGAATAAAATAGTGAAGTCCCAATTTCCCATGGAAAATTTAGCACAAACATAACAAAATCCTTCCAAGATGGGACTSATTGTAAGCCAAGAAGCTTCATAAATTTTTCCCTAAGACTCACACATCAGTGCTGTGCAGCACAGGTCCCATGTGCTGTTCTCATGGCTTGTYTCACAGCACCTTCCCCATCAGTGTTGTGATGGAATTAGCGGTGTTGCACTTTTTGGGACACTAAAAATGATACATTTTCATCTATGCAGTTAATTTTCTTGAGTGTATTTATGGGTCTGAGGTCAAAGGCCTTGTCTTCCACACGAAATTTCAGAATAGCTACAGCAGAATTGAAGAATGCTTATTTCAGACTTTATTTTGGAAAAAAAAMCCTGGCACAATCTGTTCACAAGGCACAATCAACTACAGCTGTTCAAAGCATTTTGTCCATGGGTTTGGCTTGTTTCATCTGCTCTGGTTTGATTTTTAAATTGGGGAAATAAAAAAAAAAAAAGATAAAAGCAAACCCGAACCAGGACAAAGACCTAGGATTAGCCCCTGTTTCTTGTCCTACAGAGCAGCTCTGGAGAAGCTACAGAGTGCTGGAGTGGGCAGACCGACACCGGGGCTGGCGGGTGTGAGTGGGAAAAGGATCAGGAGCTGCACATGGGAGGGCAGTGCCCACTGAAGGCTGTGCCCTGCCCATCCTCACCCCTACAGTCCAGCCTGCCCTCTCAGGGCTGACCCTGATCTGTTTTCCCTCTCCCAATTATGGAGGAACGTTGGACTCTTCCTAGGAGCCATCAGAGGGAAGACCAAGAAATGAGGGTGACAAAAAAACAGTAAATCCTGAAAGAATGTGTCAGTTCTCAGRCCAAACTGGAACAAAGCAAGCTGGATTGCAATCGATAGTTTCCAACAAGGTAACTGCTTTTTAATAATCAAAAATCTTCTTACTAATCCACATGTGGGTAGGGATGAGTCATTTGTGCCCTCATTTCCCACACTCTTACTGATGTCAAGATATCCTTAGGAAGGTGCAAGGGCTTTTTCTGTGCAGACAGTTCCCAGAATAACAAGGTCTGACACGGAATGTAAGGACAATCTTTCTTCTCAGCCTTCACCCCACTGGTGCCACAGCCMAGCCTGCAGACTAGGGGGAAGCTGYRGTGCTAYTRTGGGGCTGCCSACTGCCAMCCCCACCTCTCTTCCAAACACCATTCAGGCTCTTCATTAGCTGTGTCCTGAATTAATTCCTTTTCCCTGTGTATGACTTCAAAATTGAAATTCCCAGCTCATGWGAACTGACTTAATTTCTGTGGAGCTGAGGAAGAAGCAATGGCAGGTGATGAACAGATGAGCACAGGGAAATTCATTTCCTGCCTCATTTCTCTACACAGGAGGCTGTAACATCAGTTCATTTTCTAACATCAAACTAGTTGAGCCCAAGTGCTCACAGAATCCTAAAATCCCAGTACCTTCAACAATGAGGAATTCAGYGTTCTAAGCAAATAATACTGTCTGCTTTTGAACATGTAAAAGTAAACACAGTTAACACTCCTTTCTAAAAAAATAACTTAAAGTAGGGAAGCACATTTGCAAAGTCAAAATCCACATCAAGGAGAATAACAACTGAGATTTCAAATAGTATATCTGGCYCCTGCACACCAGTTATTACCATCTACTCCCTGTAACTCTTACTGTCAACGCTATTCCTCAAGTTTCTTATCTTGGTAGGCCAGAACCTGCAGAACTTCCTCTAGACTTAACTGGAGTACTGTGTGCTACAGTTCCCAGAAAGGAAATGGCTGATAYATTTATATAAAACAGAAAGCTTTTCTTTGACAAAAAACAAAGTCCATTTGACTTCAATTATTTTGCAAAATGTTGCTGTCTCTTTAAACAATTAACACACTTGCTTTTCAATTATTTTGAATTGAGTTGTACTCAGTTCTGGTCTCTACTTTTTGGGAAAAGCTCAGATTGGCCATAACAGTATTTTTTTTTTGTGATCATAATATTTCAATAATTAAACATAAGTTCCTCCTGCCCACAGTAGAGCTCAGAGTATCGTCCTTGTGACAAGCATTATGTCCTGTCAGACTTACTTGTATTGAAAAAGGATTTATGTTGAACACTACTGCTGATCATTAGAAGTATTACAAGATACTAAATGGTTAGTTYGCTTTCTTCTCTTTCTTCTTCGTTTTCTTTTAAAGAAAAATAGGGCACATCTCCCTCTCCTTCCCARTTCTCCACAGCTCACTATTTCTGCAAACCACTGAATTCCTAGAAAATGCCAGAAGCTATTATTACAACTTCCGTTATGAATGACTTGGTGAGGACAAACACTTGAAGTGAAATCTCCCAGCCCATCTAGCAGTAATTCCTCTTTATTATTGTAGTAACATATTTGATGGGTTTGTGGGTCTCATCCAGCAATGAAACTGAGAGCAGTGAATTAGGAGGCACTACAGACACAGCAGAAACATGACTCATTTCAAAACTGGGTAAGTCTTTGATATTTAGTTAATTTTTCCATTGCCTCCCAAGCAAAACCTGAGAATTTCCCACTCTGCTAGAAAGAGGCTGGTTGACAATGAGAAGGAAGAACATAAAAAAGAATAAAAGCTGCTTTTTTTAAAAATGGAAAGCGAGAGATGTTATTTATACTGCTCCCTGAAAAAAAAAAGATTGTAAAAAATTTTACCTTAAAAAATATATTGTCCCTGAATATGCAGATTCAGATTTCTTAAGAATAGTAAAACCAGGTTATAATAATCAGCCTAAGAAATCATCCTTTGCATCATAAGTTGCTTCCATGTGGAAAGGTTTTAATGAAAAACAGGATTAAGGTGTGCTACAGAAATGCAATGGTTTGTATTTTAATCCTTTGCAAAGAACACTGTCAGTAGCTTTCTACGGTTTACCTCTGCCTGGGGATTAGGGTAATAGCTTGTAGCCTCARTGCTTGGAATCAATGCTTGAAAAGAATGAATCCCCTAAACCAACATGTTCCTGTGTAGTTGTGGGGCTGGCTACAGGCACACAGGTCCATCTAGAGGCCCATGTAACCTGCAGCCTCAAGGACTCAGGAACTGACAAGTGAGGAGRGTGATGCTGTCACATCTTCTCCAAGTGACATTTTGGGAGGTTTGGACAGGAAAAGTGGCAAAATGCAAACAGATGGACATAGCTGAACAGACTGGCCAGGATCCTCTTTTTTCTCCAAAAGCATTTCCAAACATCAGTTTTTACCTGATKAAATTTTAAAGCTAAACCCTCTGCCAGCTGTGTATCTGTTTGGTGGACCCTTGTGACATAATCCTTGCTGCCCCTGTAGGACTCTTCTCATCCTAAAGCACCAGGAACTTCGGTGTGACTTGCTCTGTTGGACGATGCCAGCAAGTCAGCTCTGGTGAGGCAGGACCTCTGCTGATTTTATAAAAGCCAGGGTCTCTGCTGAATTTATAAAATCTCCTGGGYGTGAGAGGTGTGAAGCTGGCCTGGCTGCTGCTTCCTCTTTTGGCCAGCTTGAGAGTACAGACAAAAGCMCTGACACTTTTCCCCATTCCCCATTCCTTGCTCACAGTGAAGATGTCTTTGCTTCCCCTGCTGCCTCCAGACAGCTTTCCTTTCCTCCCTAGCAGCCTTGACCACACAACATGAACAGCACCCAGCCCTGTGCAAGTAACTCCACCTGCCAGAGTGAAGAGTGGCCACTGCAGCACCACACCAGCCCCACGGCCCCCAGGCAGCCCAGGATTTACTCTTTAACTGAGGTGARCAGCACTGGAGTGTGTGCTTGCAGCTAAACACACATTTCAGAGCGGTGATTTACTGGTGCTTAAAACAGCATAATCCACTGGCCAGCTCAGGCTTGAATTCAGATAACCAAAATATCTAAAAATAGAGGAAGGGAGACGTAAACTTAACAGGAACATTGAAAATTAATTTTAAGACACATGGTTTCTTTTCTCAAAAACACATCTGCATATTGATCTTATAACAAGGATTTGGAAACAGCAGCTATGCATAAAAGCAACACATGCTTTAGCCTGGTGATGCTTCCTGTTTGAAGAGAATGAAATTCTTTCCATGTCACATGAAACATTTCAGGATTACCATTAACTTTCTACATAAAGCATCCCCTTGCAGTGATTCCTGACACAAGCACCATGCCTAGATAGAATGTATTTTCCCCACCTCATGATGCAGGGAAACCAAATGCAGTTATAATCTGTTTAAATTTTGAAAAATACAGAGACYCAGTCTTAACATCACAAACTGTTCAGCTTATGACATTAAGACCAAGTCTCTGTATTTCTCAAAATTTGAACAAATAAAGCTTGTTTTAAGAGATGCAGTAATGTACAAATAATTTTTTTATGTTATGTACAAATATTTTTTTAAAGTAGTTTCTAGATAGCAGTTAGTCTGCAGAGAATAGCTGGAATGGAGAAGACAGTTTATTTTCCGCAAATAAAAACGTAGATTTTTTTCCAGGACTTACTCTCTTGTTTCCATATCCAGATAACATGTGTTTCAACAGTGCCATTTAATATTTGCKTTCCTCTTAATGTCTTTGCAGCATACAAAATTGTTAAATGTTATAAGCATTGAAGCYTTTCTCAAACTCTCAGTGCCTACAAGCATCCCCATCTCTGTCTAGTCTAATAAAAGCTGTTACCTGTTACTGTCTCATATCCACCACGCTACAGAAACACCACTGCAAATCACATAGCCAAAGAGACCACACATGCATTTCCAAATGAAAATTGCATGCAGAAAAACCTCTTGAATTTAGAGAAGGATTTTTCTTGTACTAAGAYCTAGCATCAGATCTGATTGGGCAGATCAGCTACAAGCCACAGAATTGTATTCTATGGCTCCCAAAGGAGAACTTGAATATGTATGTAATAATTGATTTAAGAGCCCTGTACCTTGGCTCCAWCACTGCAGCACATTGCCACTCAAATGGGTAGATTTATAAAAGCACTCTAGTTCAGATCAGAAGTACAGCTTTGAAGTGAGTTTTCTAATCATTGCCCTTTGCCATGCCTCATTCCTCACCATAAAGCAAGCACTGATATCACTCCTTTTGGAGGACATCACTCCTTTCATATGCCATCACCCCTGGAGATTTTCTTTTTCTGCAGGAAATGAGCATCCACTSTGCCAGGCCACACTGCTGCCAAAGGAAAGCCCTCAAAATGCATCAGTGGTGGGCAGCACCTCCGCAGCACTAGTCAGGTTCCAGCTGCCCCTGTCCCCTTCCAGGCTGTGCCAGGGGTGGACACTACCATGGACAGGAACTGGCATCCAGCTTGCAAGCCCTTGGAGGTGCCCCGGTTCACTGGGTTTGCATGGCCTGGCTTTTTGGTAGCAGGAGGGGCTACAGAGGTGCCTTCATGCTGCCAGAACTTCCATCATGTCCAGCAGAGCCARTCCCTGGTGGTGCCAAAGATGGATTTGCCGGTGACCAAGGCTGGGCCAAYTGGAAATGGTGGTAATGCCTCTGTGACAACAGATTTAGGAATAAATCAAAACAAGAGTTGTTGCACAGTTGTAATTGCAGCCAGAAAAGCAGGGTGAGAAWATGTGACAGGAACAACCCTGCAGACACCAGGGTCAATGCAGGAAGGACAGGAGGTGCTCCAGGWGCTGGAGCAGAGATCCCCCTGCAGCCCGAGGTGCAGCCCGWGGTGCAGCAGCTGTGCCCCTGCAGCCCATGCAGGTCCATGGGGATGCAGAGATCCCCCTGCAGCCCCTGCAGGAGCCSCACACGGAGCAGGAGGAGGCTGTGGTCCTGTGGGAGACCCATGGAGAGAGGGGCCCTGCTCCCAGGCTGGAGCAACCTGTCCTGGGAGGGTTTGCTCCTGGTGGAAGAGTGACCCATGCTGCAGCAGTCTGGGGAGCACTGCTGCCTGCAGGATGGACTCACATTTCAGCAGTTTGCAGGSAGCTGCTGCTCATGAGATGGAATCAAATCAGAGAAGTTTGTGGGAAACTGTCTCCTGTGGGTGGGACCCCATGTGCAGCAGGGGAAGGACTCCTCTCCCTGAGCAGCAGGAGAAGCCATGGGTGAAYTGACCATAACCCCCATTCCCTGTCTCCTTGCACCACCGGGATAGGAGGTAAACCTGGAAAGGAGGGAGGTGGGGGGAAGGTGTTTTTAAGGGCTTGTTTTACCTCTTATTATTCTGCTGTGATTTTGTTAGCAATGAGTTCATATCTCTAAGTTAAGCTTGTTTTGCCCATCATGGAATTTGCTGAGGGACATCTCCCTGTCCTTATGTCAACCCATGAAGCCTTCGTTCRCTAAATTTTCTCTCCTCGGTCCAACTGCAGACGGGAGAGAGTGAGCACCATCAACCCCCAACACCTGTGTGAGACAACAGGTGTTTTGCACGTCACAAAGCTATGTGAGCTTTTGTTGCTTTTAGTTATTTGAAAAAAAGCTGTTCTTGGTGCTTCTGGATCTTGCTACAGTGGTTACAGTGGTGTGCTCCACTCCTGGCAGCAGTAGTCACTCCAGCCGTCCTCCCRGAGACAGGCAGTGTGCTTGAAAGAGCTCAGCTCAGCCTCTCAATAGCGATGTGTTTAATTGCTTAAACCTCTATTTAACACTGATACATTATTTCCTCCTGAGAAAGAAATAAATTCTTTAGCCTAGARAAAGGAGATGATTCTGGAGCAGCGAAAGTAAGCTGTCCCATGGTAGGAAAGCCAGTGTAACTGTGTGAGCCTTGTGCTCAGTTCTCAGGTGGGAGACAGAGCCATAGAAACAGCGTTGTCGCACTGTGCCAGCCAGGAAATCATCCACTAGTCAGGGAGGCATGTTGCACCTCTCCAGAACTCCACAGGGAATAGAAATGTCCCGCCAGGAGCTCGGTGCCACTTGCAATAAGGATGAGACACAGTAAGGCACATTTTATCATCCAGCATTTTGTACCTGCACATAACATCCTATGTTTATCACATCCTCAGTGTGTTGTTCACTTACAGCATCAAATTTCAAATCTCACTATAGGATGGGGAGTGATATCAACACAAATGTCTGTGGTGAAACTTACTTATTGGCAGAAGGGAGTTTCTAAATGAGTTACGATATTCTTCATCTGATTTATGCTGAGATATCCCAGATACTTRGGGCAGAAGTAAACTAGGATGAACACGTATTTTCCATCTGCCAGTATTGTCCATATGTCACAGGGACATGAAAAAACACACATTTTTACATAAGAAGGGGAAATTCTTTCCTCTATCTGAATTAATTTAAAGTCCTCCTTTTATGCTCCCATACTTCCTTATCATTTGATAGGGTTGATAGCATTGTTGATTTAAGCCTAAGAGGAGTATTATAATTTTGCATTTCTTCTGTCCAGTTACCCCTCAAAACATTGCCCTGAGTTAAGGAATAAAGTTAGTGGGATTTACAGTCTAGCTTTTTGGTACAACAGCAAGAAACCGATTCAGATTAGGTCAGGTTAGGTTAGGTTAGGTTAGGTTAGGTTAGGTTAGGTTAGGTTAGGTTAGGTTAGGTTAGGTTAGGTTAGGTTAGGTTAGGTTAGCTTATCTTAGCGTCGGGTAAGTTGGGCTGGGCTTGGCTGGGCTGGGCTGGCTGAGGATCGGGGCAAATGCAGCGGAACATTTGGGTTTAGAAACTTCGTTCTCGGGAAGTGCAGTTTGTTCCTGCTTAGTGCTACATGCGGTGACGTCGTGGGGTGGGGGAAGAGGAAAGAGGAGGGGTGATCTCCCAACAAACAGCTGCTGCAGCTGCAGAGAGGAAAAAGGAGAAAGCTCAGGAGTACCAGCAGCAATCCGACCCCTGCAACAGGTAATACCTCTTGAGTGCAGGTGACATAGACCGCTCAAATGCAAACAGGAAAGGGGGAAAAACCAGTGGGCGGGATGTGCGCATCAGCTTTACACAGCAGCCCGTCTTCCTGAACTGCAGGGCTTGCAGCTTGTCACAGGGGTGGAGAAGGGGAAGACACAGAAGTTCAGACCAACAGGACTTAGTGTGACTTAGAAGGAAACCATGTCAGCAGAGGGAATTTTCGAGCAGCTCTTTCCTGCTGAAAAAAAAAACCAAAACAAAAAAAAAAAGGGGGACATTGCTCTCTGAAAAAAAAAAAAAAAAAAAGGGGGACATTGCTCTCTGGTTTCAGCATGAGGGCTGGTTCCTCATGTGTGGTCAGCCAGCACGGGCTCAAAGGAAAGCGGCCGGCGCAGGAGCCCGGAGGGGCAGGGAAGTGTCCCCAGTAGGCAGGCATGGGTGGGACCCTCGGGTGGGACACGCCCTGAGTGTGGCCTCTGTCCTGGCTCCCCGCAGGGCACACATGGATGGGACAGGGGACACATGGATGGGACAGGGGCTGGCCTGGGCTGGGTGCCGCTGCTGTGCTGTCACCTTAGCCCACGGCGGAGCCTGGTCCTGACCACCCTTGCGACACTGCGAGCACTCGCCTCCGTGCTTGCCTTGGGTGGCAACGACCACAGGGACACGCTGAGCGCCTTCAGGATGAAAACAGTAAAATGCAACAGTTACACTTCTGTGAAATTTCTGCCTGAGGAAATACATCAGTCCTTGCAGCTAAAATGATAAAATCTTTGCACTGTGCTAGTTCTGACATTTCTTACATTTTATATAGTTTTCTGTGTTTTGAGGCCACCGAGAAAGCAGATAAGTTTTTCTAGTAGGGTTGATWTTACATATGATAAGTGCATCCGTAGCATTTCAATGTATTTGGCATAACATCAACCACAGTAAATAAGGTGAAACAGGCAACCAAAACAGCAGACAGCAAGTGCAGCCTTCTGAGTCTATCTCGTGCAAGACCCGTGTTTGTTTTCTTTCTCCTGTGCTCAGTACTGAAATGTGCCGTGGCTCTCCAAWGCCTTCAGATGAAAGAAACTTGAAAGCCTTAAAGCAAATCACACTGCAAGGACAAAAATGTGGCAGCAGGTCAGGCACCAGGGTGGCAAAGTGAGATTTGGAAGACGGCAAATCTGGGTCATGCTCAGGGTCTGAACCACTACCTGATGGGTAGTCCATGTTTTATCTGCGGCACTGCTGCAGAAGCAGATTCTGTGAGCTAAAGGTGGAATCTTTCTGGGAATCTAAATAAAGACCATTGCTTCTRCCAGTGACCTTTCACATAGAAGCAGAATTTTGTGTTGTGACACATAGCTGTTGGGACAGGGAAATAGGTTATCTTCAGCCTGCTTCTGTTTCTCTAGGTAAAAAGGTCAGCCTTTGGATGAGAAAGACCTTAGTGAGAAGTTACATTTCAGTTTCCTTTTATCACACTGAAATCACCTTTCAGTCTCTTCAGATTTCTTCACTTCTGTGAAAGGCTTTTGTTTGGTCTTAAGTACCTTTTGTGTGGGGATTAACAAAGTAGGTTGAAAAAAGCATCATGCATTCTCAGATCAGGCACAGTGGAGAGCATCAGCAAAGGCAGGGAGCTGGGCTGCTCGCAGCTCCAGGGCTGGAATCTGTCCACTGTGTGACAGCAGCACACTGCCCACCACCACATCCCCACAGCAAGGGGGAGTATGGGGCCCTCCATAAATGTCAACAGTCTGTACACATTTCAGCAGTCACGGGTATACTTTAAAGATGATGTGCTCCGAAGTGCAACAGCTGCCACATCGCCAAAGCACCAGTGTGAGCCTGCGTTTACAAATGTTACTCCCTGTTTAGTCAAGATTAAGTACCTTAAGAACTGCAAAACCAACAGTTTTCTAGCCAACCAATGCAGGAAGGGTTTGGAAAATAAACCCAAATCACTGAAAGACAGGCTCCGAGGATGACAGACAGATGTAGCAAACTAAACTTCAGAAGAGAGAAACCATATGCTCAGCTTGCATCCAGTGCAAAACTCACACAGCAGTATCCAACCAAAGAGAGTGGTGGAGCTGCTGACTGGAAATCTCAAGATTTTCATGTCTGTTCCTGTAAGTTCCACACAGTAATTCCTATCCATCCAGTAATAAGGCTGTTTCTTAACACAGAACAACGTTCTTAATTTTTTGTCTTTTTATAAATCTAAAATTTCCCCACTTTTTCTTATCACAAGTTGGAACCAAGTGTCATTCAGTAATAAAACAGATGGAATTTAGGTTCAATATCAATAAAACTCACTGGACTTCAGCTCAATTCAGTTGTATCCTACATTTCCCAAAAGGAGGACATATGGAATAGATTCTTTTTTTTTGGGTCCTTATAGGTCTTATTGGCATAGTATCAGAGGACAGTAATGTGTCTTGGGAGATATTCCCACAAATCCTTTTGTGCAAATATAAGGGATGATATGAATAGCAGTCATCCTACATAACTGGAAGAGAGGAAGACAAGTACTTTTTTTGACCTCCCTGCGATTTACTTACAGTAAAAATTGAGAAGACCTCTTTATCTAGATCCATTTAAATAACTCTGTATTGTTACTTATGGCCCAATGCTAGGAATAAAGTATAGGCATTTATCACATTTAGACACTTTTGTACAGAGAAGTTTACTCCATTTGTTAAKGTACAGATATAAATGAAATGATGTTTGGTGGCAGAGACACACCACACGAACACACAGGATCAAGGTACAACTTAAAGAGAATACTACTTACTGGGACAGAAAGTTAATGGGTCCAACACAGGAGATGAATTCTAAGTTAATTTCCAAAAAAAGTAGTCATACAGCTGGAGAATAGGCAAGTCTCTCAGAACAGGCCAGAGGAAAATACATTTATGGGAASTCAAGTCTATCCAGAGCCTTGGAAGTTTTGCAAAAAGTCAGAGTGTCCACAAAAATTAGGTTAGAATGGTAATAAATATTAGTCTGCTCCAACAGGAGAAGATGGTTCTTATTAAATGCAACTTGAATCCAGCAGGCAGTGGAGTGTCTTTGTTTAGATATTTTTTCTTCTGGAGGCACAAATATTGCTTTATGGCACATATCACCCTAATGATTGGTAGAAACTCAGAAAAATTTTTTGAGCATCTCTAAGTAGCAAGCAGGGGAGCCTTTGATCCATTAGATAGTTCTGCTCTGGGACTTCTGGGAGACACAGATTACACTGATCTGTTTCTATTTCATAGAATCATAGAATCATAGAATCATAGAATCATAGAATCATAGAATCATAGAATCATAGAATCAAAGAATGGTTTGGCTTGGAAGAGACAGTAAGAATTTATGTATTACATTCAGATTCATCTAGTTCCAAGACCCCTGCCATGGGCAGGGACACCTATTAGACCCGTTGCTCAGAGCCTCATCCTTCTGGCAGGCTTGAACAGTGACAGGGATGGGGCATACACAACTTCTCTGGGCAACCTGTGCCAGTGGTCAGCACCCTCACAGTAAAAAAYGTCTCCTTAATATCTAATCTGACTCTGCCGTCTTTCAGTCTAAAGCGATTCCCCTTTCTCCTGTCACTATATGCTCTTGCAAATAGTCTCTATCTAGTTAAATTCTCTTCATGTACTGGAAGGCCACAATTAGGTCATCCTGAWGTCTTCTCCAGGCTGGACAATCTAATTCTTTCAGGCTTTCCTCATAGGACAGGTGCTCCATAGCTCTGATCAACTTGTTGACCCTCCTCTGGACTGTGTCCATCAGGTCCCTGTCCCTCCTGTGCTGGGTTCCCAGAGCTGGGTGCAGTGTTCCAGGTGGGGTCTCAGCAGAGCAGAGCAGAGGGGCACAATCCCCTCCCTCCCCTGCTGCCCACGCTGCTTTGGATGCAGCCCAGGACACGTTTGGCTCTTTGGGCTGGGATTGCTCATGTCCAGCCTCCCCCAYACCAACACCCCAAGCCCTTCTTGGCAGAGCTGTTCCCAATTTYAGCTCTTTTCCTTTGACTGACTAACATGTCCAAAGAGGGTGCAGTTTCTTACTGTTATAAAATGCTGTTTTAAGTCTTATAGTTCATTATTTTCAATTTCCACAGGTTTACCATGAACATGTACCTGTTCGTGTATGACTTAATGCAATTCTGTGGACATTCATGGATATTTACAAATATGATGATCAGGTTCATGACATTTGGAAAGGGTAAGATTCCTTCTCTATTTTCCTTAAACATTTTAAGAGGGAGTAACAGACACGCAGAAAATATCACATTAGAGATAAGGTTAATATTCTGAACGTGTGTATGTCCAATACCAGGTACTGTAATTCAATTAGAAAGATAATTCATTAAAAAAACTGAACAAATTACCTGTGCCTGTGTTATCCCCTTATCACCTGGAGTGAAGCTCTTGTTTTGCTAATGAGCTTTAATATTCAGCAGCATGCTAGTAACTTTTGAATTAGACATAGACCTMAATGTGACTGGGTCCAGTCATTATGGCAAATACTAATCTTACTGAAGCCACCAGAAGGGAATATCGTTGTGGTTATTGCACATGACTCTATCTTCAAAAACATTACAAAATATTTCTCTTTCTATTGCCTGGGGTTAAGACACAAAAATGGAAAACTAGTGACTGGAAATTTAAAATTATTTATAATGGTGACCGTTGTAAGCATATAAAATGCCTACTTTCTGGRCTACTTGTTCTAGACAGTACCATAGATACAGATACAGGCCAGAATTCAACATCTCCTAGTGTTTAGAAATTCCTCATGCATTTCCTCAACATTTTCTCCTATTTAGAAATACCTAAAGCGATATCTCTAAACCAGAGCATCCTGCACAGTGTTTGCCCATGCAGTAAATATAGGGAATTTTTTTCTCAGCTTCCTGCCTCTGTGTCAGAGCCACACACACAGAGTGGATTGCCTCCTCCACTCCCTGAAGCTTTGCTTCTGCTACCCAGAAGTTTGGTACAGCATGAACTTATTTCTTGTCATTTCCAGTGATGATAGAGTAAAAGCAAACCCAGTAGGTGCTCCAGACTTTGCCACATAACCATCCTCTAATCYTCCTCTTCCCTTTGTCTGTAGATTCGCTGGCTGACACGTTTTACTCCATAGGACTTGTAATGCGCCTTTGCCAGTTGTTATCTGTACTGGAGATCCTACACATCCTCGTTGGCATTGACAAAAGCCGTCTCCTCCCCAGGTTTTTGCAGGTAAGTTTGTTSCTCAAGACTCTCCTCTCATGACTGACACACATGAGCTTGGGCTCAACTACCCTGAAAGTTGTACCTGCACCCTCTCTCAGGGAGCCTGGTCTGCTGATTGTTTGCTAACTGCAGGAATTGCTTCCTCAGAACTGGGCTGGTTGGGAAAGAACTGTTGTCTCAACCTTTTTCTGAGTGAAACTGAGCAGTGAGTGCCCCATACTTGGCCCTCAGCAGGGACTCAGAAAATGTCCAGATGAGTGGCCACCTGAAAAAGTGGGTCAGTGGCCAACTGCAGTGGCCAAATAAAATTCCAGGGGCATTCGGCCTTTCTATTTTSTCCCTTACATAACCTCCCAGCATCCCTGTAGTCCTCCAAAAGTTAGCTTCCCATCCTTTCAGAGGTGATACACTCTGTTTTCCTCTGAGCTCCAACATTAATTTCTCTGTTTAACCAGGCTGGTCTTTTTCCTTCCTGGTTTGTCATATGTTCAGCCATTGGCAGAAAGCCAGACAAAAGATCACATGCTGTAGCAGAAAGAAAATGACACATTTTCCTTGACACACTGTTCTTTTCTCCCTTTTGGGCATTAATCTCAAGTTTTGGGGTTTTTTCCTTAATGCATTGGAAAAAGCAAAATTATAACTTGAATTTACCTTCTAACTTTTCCAATCTTTAGCATTTGAATACTGGTGAAACTCGTACTGCTCTCAGCACTCAGAAGGTAGAAGATGAAGAGTARTTAGTTATGTTTTTAATTTTCTGGATAACCCATGTTTGTCAAATGACACATTTATGAGTGAAGATGTTCCTCTTTTCAAATCTCCATTAACTAATTGTCTAAATAACTAATTAACTAATTGATTAATTGACTAATACAGATCTCTGTTCTTTACACTGCTCACTAAGTATGGTAGCAAATTCATCAAAATGCAAGTGAGTGCTTTTCCCTSCCTAAATCCACATGCTTTTACACTAATCTAGGGAAAGAAAAGTCCCCTCTCTAATATGACCTGTAACAAATTTCACATCATGTCTTGGAGAGAAGAACAGCCTGCTCTTAGTCATTAAAGCAAGGCTTGTCCTGGCAGAGTTTACACATTCCCCAGCCCTGACATAGTCTGTTTCTCTCCTAGCCAGAAGGCAGAGATCGGGGAAGCTTGCACAAACACTGTTCTCTGTTGCCACAAATGACATTAGTATAAAATGGATATTCTGAGCAAGAAAACGGTGACCTTTCTTGGGCAGCACCGTTTATGCAATGCTCTCCAGGGCAGCATGGGGAGGCGGCTCCAGGAGCCACATGGCACTGTGACTCTCAGTGTTCACCTCACACCAAATACGGCCTTGGATCCGTACTTTCCCCAGCTGCACTTTCACCACAAACAGTTCTCTTCCCTTGATGTTAGTAGCAGCCTCATGCTGTCCAAGCAAGATGTACAAGCTCTTTGGAGAAGACTCTGCTTTTATGTGGGTTACCCACTTTGGCTGAGAGTGCAGGTTAAGCAGCTGTGTACCAACACTATTACCACGCCTTGTCACACTTTCCTCACTGCCTCTTAGGAATTAAATGAGCTAGGGAAGTACAGTTAGTTAAGAGATGCTTACCTTGCTGCCTAGTAGACTACAGCATTGGTAAAGGTACAAGAATTTGATTGCACTGATTCTGTGCTCCCACCACCTATTCTGACTCTGAGCTTTTATACATATCCTTGTATGCATCCCTCATAACAGGCGCATCTGCAGTGAAGTTCACCTTGGATGAGCACTGGGATGAGAGAACAGCTGGCTTAGGCAACGTCAGGGAAGCACATGGGTGGAGGTATAAATTAACATTGAATAAAACAAGCTGTGAAAGGGCCCTGTGGTGGCTGGTGGTTCTTTAGGCATCATAACAAATACAGGATTTAAATTAATCCTTGAGTGAAAGATTTCTGCCTTCTATTGAATTTGCTGTGATTTAGGAGCTTTTAAGAAAAATACTTTGAGATACACATTACAGATAGTGAAAAACAACTSAGAGAAGTCTTCTGGAAAGACTCATCGAGGGACAAAGTCTCAGGGCCACCAGACATCTGAATAAGGTAGATCACAAGTCACATCATGAGAGAAAGATGAATTCTGTGTGAGAGATGTGCTGTGGGAAGGTGAGGCAGGGGATGGTCACAAAGCTGGTGCAAAGGGATGTCTCTCAGGACACATCTTGAATAATTGGAGGAGGGCAGGAGAACATGTCACATGCCATTATTGTCACCAAAACAGAAGATAATGAAAGGTGTTACTCCTGGCTGGGGAGTAAAAGCTGACAAGACTGGTACCACAGTAAGGAAACAGGAAAGTGTAACAAAATTCAGGTGAACGAGTTTTGTAAACCTAACAGCAGTTCTTCATCCTGTGCAAACAGGATTTGATTTACCAAACTAAAAGCAATGTACTATGGCTTTGTGATAAAAACTTTTATTTTTAACTTTAAATATTTAGCAACTTTTCTGACTTTCTTTTTTTTTTTTTAATTTTATTTTATTTTATTTTATGTTCACTAAATTGAAGAGCTATGTAAGAATTCAGGTACCAAGTGCAATACTGCACAGTCATGGTTATTAAAAAATGGAAGTGAATGTGCTGTTTCCTCTAGCCAAATTTGCTCTGTTTCACTTACTTGATYAAAGAACTCAGGCTGTCTTGCAGAAATTTACGTCACTCTACAGAACTTGCTGTATCCTGTGAGAGATCAGTGTCGGAAAAGGAAGGTAATTCCAATTTGATTTTAAAGAAGGAATGAAAACTGAAAGCGTATTCATGCTTTGTGATATGTTAGCACGTACTTCCTTTTCTTGAATGTGAAAACAGGACTTGTAGTTCTGTGCGTTTTTTTAATTTTGAAGCAAGAGATTAGCAACAGAGAATATTGCATTTTAATTTATGCAAGGATGGATGATCCATAAAGGAAATGATCCATGGCTGAGCAGCAGCACATGCATTTTATCTATGGGTGTATACGTGTGTATTCACATATGTGTGTGTATTGACTCCATGTATATATGCTTACAGATACGATTGTACAGAGGCACAATATCAACACACACTACTCTTCTCCAGGTAGCACCCTGCCTCTTCACTTAGAGAAAAGGTCCTCAGCCTCTGACCAACTGCTGCATTTACCTTTGATTTGTGTGGGTTACCTAAAGCTAGGAGTACTATGAAAGGAAAGAGAATAAGGCAATCAGGCAACCTTCTGATTTATGCAGAAAGAGGTAGGATGTCACTGTCTGTCCTCATGGGGACATTAGGATTGTCTTGAGCAGCCAGGTCTGTGYCCTGCCCCACAGATGTGCTCCAGAGCAAGGCCATGTGTTTCTGGTTTCAGTGTCTGGTGGCTGCTTTGTGCAGCCCATTGCTTGCCAGATAAGCCTGCAGTCTAACAGCAACAAAATACCTCAAGGGGACCACTTTGTGCCATGTTTAGTTTCCTGCTCTTGYGAGTGTGTAACATACATTACAGTCTGGTTACTGAGTTATTCCATCATATAACTAGTAAAGCTGAGTGCCTCCATTGCTCCCCTTSTCCAGTGTGAATCTCTGATGGYGGAAGTCTGCCGAGCCTCATCTAGRTGGTTCTCACTGCCTTGTGTTTCTACTTGTATMCYGGAGTGAGGAGAAAATCCACAGCTTCCTCCTCTTCCAGAGTATGAGGCTGAATTTTGGGTCTTCATAGTCACTCTGTCTCACTGGCCAACATACACCTTTTTGAAACCAGAGATGGTAGCTACCTTCCTACTGCTTGTCCTATCTCTCACTAAAATGGGACCAGATCCTGATCATTTATCCCATGCTGTTTTCCATTTTCACCCACTTCTTGAAGAGTGAGTGAACCTCTCTTTTGGAAAATCTTCTGATATATAAAAACATGTCCATCTTTTCATTATCATGATAAAGCTTTTGGTCTCTAGGACAATTACGTGTGGCAATTCTCTGAAATAGCTCTTGTATTAACAATATTGCAGAACTCTCTCTCCACATCTCTGATTTTAGGGTCTGATTTTAGGTAACAAAATGCCCACACCACCAATGTTGCATCCTTTACCACTCTTCATCTAACAATTTTAACTCAGATTCTATTTTTCCGTTCTCTCCAGCACACAAATCCCATCCAATGCTCACAGCTTTTACCTTTGTTTTGATTTCCTTCTTGTGATGGTTGCCCTGCCATGTTTCTTGTATCTCTGTTCTATCTGGTTTCAGATCTGCATCAATACTTCCAGTTTCCCCATGTTTTTGCCATGTTCCTCAGCATCAGAGTACAAACACAGGACATATTAGCTCTCACTTTCCAATTCCTGACCCATCTCTATGGAAGTCTGCCAACATCTGACCTTTTTGGAAATCAATTGCTCATTTAGGGACCTATGGGATCAGCAGCACAAGATGATGGTGAGAGGAGGAGGAGAAACAGCAAACCCATTTTTAGCTGTTGTGGCTCCTCAATGCTTTCCAAGATGGGGAACCAGATCCCTGGGAAATGACATAMTCTCTTTCTGTATGAAAAATTGCTCTCACTAATTTTGCTGAATAGTGAAGTGAAGGCTGCTTTATCTAACAGGCGTGGTTTGCAGAAATAGAGTACGAAGTGAGAATGGTCCATGCAGGAACCTGTAAATATTATGTAGCAACACTACCACACAAATTTGCTAAGAGGCAAAATTCTTACTTTGTTTAATGTAGGAGTAAGGGGAAACCAAACTGATAAAAACAACCTTGGTAATACACTTTCATTTTGTAACTTTTAACTGACTTGATATTGCAACCTCTGAAATCATTAAAACTAAGGTACCTTATCGAAGACATGGCAATGGGTAAGCAAACGCAACCTGATATATTGATTCATATAAACTGCTTAGGTACATGTTTTTTTACTGCAATACTTTCAGAATGTCAGAGTGAATTGGTTCTGTTCTGGGACAGCTTGACAAACAACTCTTGGCAGTATGCTTACTTTACAGGACAGGGCATAGATACTGTTAGAAAACTTGTCAGGAAAGCTGCAAAAAGACACACTTGGTTTGAATTTCTTGAGCTTTARTATTAACGAAGTATTTGTTTTAAGCTGGAGACACTGCCTGTTTAATCCACTTTTATCTTTTCATTTGTGGGTTGGATAAAGTTCAACCACTAGAAAAATGTTAGAACATAAATACTATGGCAATCATTCACGTAAGTGACAAGCTTAAACCCACTTCCCCTAACAAAGAATAAGATGGAGAGAAAGATAAGGAATTCTACTTTTCCTCCTTTTTTCTGCAAATCTTACATAAAAGAGATTCCTTGGGACACAGATCTCCAAGATATGAAAAACAGAGCTGGGAGTGTAAGATTAGTACTTTCTGGCACACGACCCCCCCAGAAAGGGCCATCTGTATCCCACTGCCTCCCACACAGCCTACAAGCAGGGAAGCTTATCCTTGCCAGCCCTCCAGGCACCCACGTTTAGTGGGAATAGTCTTTGCTTCCATGACCTCCACAGGCTCATCCACAGAGTTCCTTGGATACAAACCCAAGTTATCCCAGCTGGAAAGCAAACCTCCACACTTACCATAACAGGTCTCTGATGCTGCAGCCAGCAGCGTCCGCTTCCCTCTGCTGAAGGACCTTGAATAAAAGCAGGCCACGATGCAAAGCTGATTCACTGCTGATTTTGTGTAAAGAGAACTCCTGTTTTGCCAAAATGCCACAGAAATAACAGCTACAGAAGGTGCTACTTGAATTCAAAATTTTCTTTTCTTTTCAGATCACTGAGAGAATAATTGTTTTATTTGTCGTGATMAACAGTCAGGAAGAAGTTCAAGGGAAATATGTCGTGTGTGTTTTATTTTTCCTTTGGAATTTATTAGATGTGATCAGGTAAGGAGGCAATGTCAAAACCAGAGGGGAAATGGGTTATTCTTGCCAGTAGAACTCCACCCCCACTGTGTAGCAGGCTAATTTAATTATTTCAAAATTGGCAAAGCATATTATTCATTTTTAAATAAAAGMTCAAACCTTTTAAGTTACTTAATGTTTTTTACAAGAATCCACATGGTTGAGTGGCAGASCAACTTACAGATGTAAGATAGAGCAATGCATTAGCAGGCTGCATTAGCATTTGTAGTTCCAAGGCTTTGATGTTTTTAACAAAAGCTTAGAAGGAACTCACAACTACCTTCTGGAGAATAGCAATTCCTGAAACCATCCTGGTTGCCATTACCATTCTGTTGCTTTATTATTTTATTTTTTTATCCACTTTAATCCAAGATTGACAGCACAGTAAGGCAACATGAGCAAAACTTCTTGCTAAGGCAGAAAGACTATTCTGGGTTAGTTGCATTGTGCTTTCCAAAAAGCCAAGAGCTCTTGCTGCAGAGACAGAGTTTTGGTGTAGTAGACAAGAACAGCAAATATTTCTCATATGTAACATAAACATCTATGAATCTTAGTTTGTAGACTTATAGGAGGTCAGACAAGTGGAATGAAGAAGCATTTTAAGAAGACACAGCTCTCACAGCAACCTATGAATTGCTGCAATTGTTTTTTTTCCTGCTGAAATAGCTTTCTGCTAATTTAAATATGTTGCTTAGGGGACTGAATGAAGAATATGGATCTAGACATCAAAAGCAATGTATTTTATAAAAGAGATCTGAAGAAGCAAAATGTCAGATAGAATTGATAAAGATTTTAGGTCAGCTTCAGAGTATTTTGAACTACATGTGTTAATAGGCTACTGCTTGCATTAATTGATTATAGTTCCATCCCATTTCTTTTCGAAGTCTGTAAAGCTAAAATAGTAGAATCTAATCTGAAACAAAAAGGTTCTGTGCAGCTGGAAAAATGCCAAAAGTATAAACAATATTGGCTGTAAAGTCCTCTCAGTACATAATAGTCCTATTSATGCACTGTTATTTTCTACCCTTGCTAAAGAACAGACTTCAGCACCACTGCAGTAACAGCAGTTGTTTAACAAGAAAACTGTTGTGGTCCATAGMAGCAAATGACCAATTCAAATAAACCATAGTATGACTCACTAGAATTAGAGTTTTTACCTGATTTTTAGAATTTTTACCTGATTTATTTTACAGCATCAGTGCCAGGTTCTAATATCTCAAAGAAAAGTTTATGTCTAAAAGTGCATAGTGATCTATTCCATCCCTTAGTCAACTACTCTTGAAGTATTACAAGTTATTCCACATAAACTTAAAGGCACATCAATTTTCCTGAAGGACTTCTTACTATATGCATCATGGCTAGTGATACACTGAGAGCAAATTCTGTGAGGTTTTCTGTACCTGCTTTCCTGCTTATACCATGAACAGCCCATGAGGTTATAYAGAGAGGGAGTGGCTGTTTCCTTCTTATATTGGGTTGACATTCAGCTTTAAAAGCAACAATAATAAAAAATGGAGACAATTCTGAGGTTGCAGAGGGCATCCTTGAGGGACAATRGTACATTTTCAGCCTATCAAACTCTTCTGCAGTCAAGGTATGATGTAAAATTGATCAAATTAATCAATGAGAATGGAATACCAGAACTGCRTTTAACATTAGTTTCATCTGTCATTAAGTTCTGGGTAATAGATTTACATACCTCTAAGTATGTCTGCAAAAAGTCTTTCAGCTGACCAAAAATGTGATCAGACCTGTTTCTCCAGTGTTTGGAAAGCTGCTGTACCACTTTAAGATCAAACGAAGATTAGGTCACCTTTGGAGACTGAAGTCCTGGGCACTCAGGTCTCCCAATGAGCAACAGTAACAGCCACAGTAAGAACAGAATGCTGCAATACAYTGGAGACCAACAGCTTTTTTAGGACCTATTGCCCCTTCTGAGGTCCAGGAGAGGGGCAGATGTACTACAAAAGGTTAAGTACCTGCAACTGCCTTCTTGTTTAACCTTCTCCAGCAGTGATTCAGATAGCTCCGCAGTTATAAATCAGCATTTTCTCAGCCCCAGGTGACCATCATATTCTGCCTGCCCCTCTCAGTTGCAGCACTCCTGTCTGAAATCCATTTTCTGACAGACCAGTATGAAATCATGCTGGTTTCTGATACAGCGTTCTGACTGGAGGGCTTTATTGCTGTCTGCTTGCTCTAGGGTACTATCATCACAGACAACCCTTCTGAAAAAATRAACCATCTACTTTCAGGCATTGGAACCTTAAAACCACTGCTCACTCTGAAATTTRCTCAGATAGCTCCAAGCTCTTCTGCAATTCCTTTAAATTTTCCAATTTTCCAAATTTCCAATTCCAGTTTTTAAAGACATCATGATTTCTTCTGAGCTCATCTGCTTTCCTCTTATTGCAGATACACTTACAACATGTTGGCAAGAATGGGAATATACTATCTACCACTGACATGGCTCAACTTCTCACTGTGCATCCTGCTTTATCCCCTTTCAGTTCTGGCTAAAGGTAAGGAGGTGGGAAGGGTACCAATCACTTGCTTCCTTAATAAATGTGATCGCTTTGATGGCCATTTGTGTTTAACATAGTTCCTCATGTGTTGCCAAAGTTGTCATAAATGTTTATGCAATGTTTATAAACCTTCATATTAACCTGTATGTCATCTACATTTCTCTTTCATTTTTTTCTTTCATATGGAYTCTCTGGGGTTTGGGGTTTGTGTGACTGGTAGGTTTTGAGGGTTTTTTGTTTGCTTGGTTTTATTTCAATTTTTAAAAATTTTTACTCATTCTTTAAAATGAGTAAAGCAGAAAAATACTGTCATAAAAGACATATAGGTTCCTCCCTTCCAGACTGAGCATATTAGACAGCAAAGCTTCTCCCCTACTGAGGCTGACCTTATTGGCTCAGGCAATGCTTAGCACATTATCATACTTAKACTGAGAAATCTGCCCACTGAGAAGACACCAAAAGCACTTGTTACTGAGAGAACTTGTTAATAAATAGGCTGTACTTATTAACTCTAGTATTAAGAGCAATTAGCACCCCAAACGTACAAAACTGAACCCAAGGAGAAAATGTGCATCCATGCATATGTATAGGTATATAATAGGTAACTCAATTGTACTTTAAGCTTTTTTATGATCTTCCACTTCGTTGTTACTAAGGATTTACCATGTTTTTACAGGATTTGCAATTTGTGTATCACTGCCTTATTTTGAATCCTTTGGCACATACTCCATCAAGCTACCATTTCCATTTGCCTTCTCAATCTACTTCCCCTATGTTCTGAAAATGTACCTGCCAGTGCTCTTTATAGGTAAGTGTTTCATCTTGCAGAAAGCAGGTTCTCAACAAAACTGGGATGCCTATGGCAATAAAAAATCACATCAGTGCTGGGCCTTTCACAAACTAACTTTGCCACATCTCCTGCAGACCACTGCAGGGAAGTGCATCACTGCCTGTTTTGATTTCCAGTATCTTTCAAATACAAATAGTGATACACCATGTATATGGCACATAAAAGCATAAACAAATAAAAATTGTTTCAGTGATCCTAGCTTTACAGCTACATAGAAAAACTTGGTTTTTTGTTTCCTTTTTTTTAAAAAAAAAACTCAATTCCCATTTGATTATACTCTGGTTCTRTGCAACTCATCCTCACCCATCCCGTCTAGCTGGGATAAGATGTTATATCTAAAATAAGTCCTTTGCAACTTGATTTTTCAAAAGAATGAAAAAATTAGGCCACTACAAAACCTTCTTCTCATCAAAATACTTTGGAAAAAWTTCTGCTTAATTAAGCTGCATCACAGAAAATTCTTTGTTCTGTCACTGGCATTAACGTGAATTTGAAGGATCTCATCTTTATGATATAGTTCTGTTCCTAAGTWCATGGAAGAAACTGTGCAAGGTTGCCAAATGAAGGCTCTTACTGTTCCTTCTGAATTAAYTGAAGTTTGAATCCTACTCTCTTGTTCTTACACCATTTTGTGTTTTGATTCAGGAATGTGCTTTATCATCCAGAACCTCTTCTACGAGAGAAAGGCACACCTAGGGACAGGCAACATCAAAAACAAGAGAAGCTAAGTTGATATTTTGTTTGGAAGGACAAAATACGTTCCTAGTGGACTGCTGAATATCATAGGTTAAAAACAAAGTGAACAAAGATTTCTCAATGCCAAACTTCTCTTCRCATGAACATTATCTGTGTAGAATTTTCAGAAAAAGCAGGTCTCTTGAATGCACCTCAAAAATGGAACACCCTTTCAAAACTTTTGAAAGTTTTGACTTCAAATGGCCAGAGTTTTTTAAATTAATATATTTTTTCTAACATATATTATGGAATTCTGAAAAAATTGAAGAGTTCACAATCACACCAACAATACTTATTTCGGTGTTAATGGTTACCTCACKAGCTACAGATACTCTGTAATGACAATATAATTTAATTTGTATGATTACTTTATACAAGGCCATCATGAATGTACCTCASACATAAATGCTAAATTGCTTGGAACTGGAATCTTTGAAGGAGAAGTCAGAACCTTTGCAACCTATGAGATGACATGCTGATTAGCCCCAGGCTTTCACTAAGCATCCCTCACCTTCTGGGCCCATTCTTAATTTATCAAAAGAACATTCCAAAAATGCAGCTAGATCAGAAAGGCATGTGTTAYGGTACTCATCTACTGTATATTCAAGGGGATATTTTAGTGTCAGAAATAAACACTTATGTGCTTCACATGTCTCTCTCTTCCCCTGCAATGATTTTCTTCCATGCTGAAAAGCAGATAGATATGTGCAAAAGAAGTGTGATGTAGTCAGGTCAAATCCATGTCGTTCTTTAAAGGGAACTGAATGACTGTCAAAAGCCATGTGCAAAATTTCTAGGCATTTTACTCAAATGTRTTGCTCCTCATACATCTGGAGGGTAATCTGCAAGAATGCAACTAGAACACAGGCCATTCAAAGGTTCGGAATGAGGAATATACACAGCAACCCAGTGGATTGTACATGCAAAATCAGCCAATAATTCCTTAGAGGCTGGCAGGAGCTTTTCTGATGTTTTATCAGAAAAACATCCATATTGATTATCACCTACATTTCATTTCAAGCATGTGGGGGAGAAAAGTGAGGCTAATTTTTTTTTCAGTTGACTGAAAACTGTGGGAAGRGAGGCAAGAAAATAGGAGTAGGAGAGAAGATAATATTTACAGGGAAACGGAACACTACTACAATATGAAGAGGCTTTTACCTGTATGATTTTTTAAACCATACAGTAAAAGAGGTTATATAAGGCAACAGTGAAGCTAAACTATTTTGTTATGAAAAGTCACCCGCTATAATTTTTGTTTATGTAATAGATGTGGCAGACAATGCCTACAGACTATTGTGATCACTGAGTACTTGCATTCCATAAACAYCAAGATCACACATACAGCAGTTCAGTGTCAACTGTGGATTATTCTTTCTTCAAAGCACTGCAAACAGAGATTTGGAACTTAGTAGAGAAACAGGTGTACTTACACTTTGGCCTTCTGTCCGACCCAAACTGATTCAAGTCTGAACAACGTGAAGAAACATATAGAGCAGGTGAATAAGATGACAATTTTGATGAAGACAGCCAGAATAAGTCCACATCAAATCACTGTATAACTTGCTAAAGTTGAAACATGAACATTTCTCCCTTGGAAATTCAATCTAACATGTTCGTCTCCAAGCTTCCTGGAGTTAACTCTATAGGAGAAAAYATGGCAAGTGATAGTGTATTGGCTTTACATGTCAAGGCTTTGGCAGTGGAGAAGCTGCAAGAATGGCCTCCACAAGAAGGCATGGGCTTCCTCTGTGCCAGAAAMAGCTGGTTCCAGCCAGTTCCAAAATTTGGCCACTGCAGGACAYTGCTGAACCAAACAGCAAAGATGATGGCATGGCATCTCTTTGAAAATGTTAAAAAATGTAAGAAATGTTATGCAGCTACTGTGAGAAAGAAGAGTAAGGAAAATATAAGAGAAATAGCACTGTAGACACCAAGGTCAATGGGGAAGGAGAAAAAGTGCTCCTCTAGGCACTGCAGCAGATTCCCCTGCAGGCCRTGGAGACCATGGTAGACCAGGTTGTTCCTCTGCACCCCATGGAGAAACACAGCAGACAAGGTATCTGCACTGCAGCCTGTGGAGGACCCCAGGCTGGAGCTGGTGGCTGTGCCCTGAGGGAAGCTGCAGTCCATGGAGAGCAAAAGCAGTTCAGGAACTGTGGCCCATTAGGGATCTGCACTGGAGAAGCCTTTTCCTAATGGACTGTAGCTCATGGAAATGACCTGTACCAGTGCAGTGCTTGAAGAGCTGCAGCTGGTGAGCAGAACCCATGAAGGACTGTATCCCATCCCTGCTGGAGCAGGGCAACAGTGTGGACAGAAACGAGCAGCAGAGATTAAGGCTTGTTAACYGAGTAAAACCCCAGTGCCCTACCCACCTTGTACTGTTGGGGAGGGAGGAAGTAGAAGATGCAGGAATGAAGGAGTAAAGTGAGCCTGGGAAGAAAGAAGTGGTGGGGGTAAGGTAATTTTAGTTTAGCCTTTTTTTCATAGCATCCTACTCTATTTTTAATTGGTAATAAATTTTTCTTCCACAAGTTCAATCTGTTTTTGTGAGAGTGAATGGTAAATGATCACGCTGAGTTTATCTTGACCCATGAACTTTTTTCATTCTATTTTCTCCCTGTCCTGTTGAGGAGGAGGAGGGAAAATGAATGTCCTGTTTAGGTAGGGCTGARTGGACATCTGGAAGCAAGCTGAGGTCAAACCCATCATAGATTAAGTCATGTTTATTATGTTTAAAAAATGTTACGTCTCAAATCTCACAGCTGGCTAAAAGGCTGGAATAGGAAAAGGATTCTTTAAAATTCACTATGGAGAARACGCCCAAAGCTAAACTGCATGAAAAAGGCAGGAAGTTTACAACCAGACAACTTCCCCACCTCCTCCTAGTACTGGGGTAACTTGGGGCATGCAGTTGGGAGATTGAGGCAGTCGGCATTCCATGTGTGACCACAACAGGCCACTGTGACTTCAGCTCCAATGCCTCACCTGAGTTCCTGGAAAACCTCAGATTGGGCAGGCAGATGGATGTTTGAGACAATGGCTTTTATGACAATGAGTTCTACTTCAATGATTGTAGCTTGTTCGGAAGAAATGGGGTCCAYTTGTGTGAAAAAGGCAAGAGATGCTCTAGCAGCAGACTGGTCAGTTTGTGAGATGGGCTTTAAACTGAAGCGTTTGGTGTGTGGATCCAAAGTGGCGATGCTCCTGCCATTGCTTCCTCCTGGTGAGTGGGCCATGCCAACCAGGGCAACCTTGGCTGCCTCCAGATGAGTCCCAGGGCTAAGCACAACAAGGGTGGGCACAGCCATGGGGAATCCTCTTACACCTCTTCTACGGAACCTGGGTGCCCGACTGCCTCCCTGGAGTGCCTGTACACAAATGCACAGAGCATGGGGAATCAACAGGAACTGGAAACCTGTGAGCAGTCACAGAACCATGATCTCACTGCAGTGACTGGGACAGGGGATAGCTCATCACTGGAATGTTGTCATGGATGGCTGTGTGCTTTTCAGACAGGACAGATCAGCAAGGTGAGCTGGTGGAGTTGGCCTTTCTGTGAGAGAGCAGCTGTACTGGATCAAGCTCTGCCCAGGGACAGACAATGAATTGAGAGCTTATGGGCAGGAATTAAGGCACAGCTAAAATGGGTGACACTGTCGTGGGTGTTTACTACAGGACACCTGSTCAGGATGAGRAAGCTGATGAARCTTTCTGTGGGCAGCTGGAACAGCCTTGAGATCACAGGCCCTGGCTCTCCTCCAGGAATTCAACAACCCTGATACTTGCAGGCACAATATGGCTTGGCAGACACAGCAAGAAAGCTCCTGTAGTTACTGGAAGATAACTTCTTAGTCAAATGGTAGAGGAGTCAAGAGGAGTTGCCCTCCAGAGGACCCTTCCCACTCCAACAATTCTGTATTCTGTGAACTTAAATCTTTCTATCTTGAGATACCAGCACCTCCAGATCTCTTTCTGCAGGGCTGCTCCCCAACCACTCTTCTTCCCATTGTGTGAGGTGTTACTCTGTCCCAGATGCAGACGCCATCATTTTAACTTGCTAAATTTCATGCCACTGATAATAGCCAAATACTTCAATCTATCCAGATCTTTCTGCTAGGCCTCATGTCCCTCAAGAGTTAACAGCARCTTTCAAGTTTGGTATTATCAGCAAATTTTGTATTCAACTCCTGTCTCCTGATCATGGATAAATACATTGAATCAAACTGGCCCTAGATTTGAATCTGGAGGAACACTGCTGGTGACTATCCCAAGCGCTACAACCCTTTGAACTCTTGTCTTTCAACAAGTTCTTTAACCAGTGCACCATAAACCTGCTCCTCTCACCACTGAACAGCTTGTTCAGACAGATGTTGTGAGGGACAGTATCAAAAACCCCACTAAGTGGGTGACCCTATCATAGGGTATCAGACAAGTCACACAGCACTTTCCATTTGTGAGCTCATGTTGACTGTACTGTTCTWTAAATGCCTTTCAATAATACCCAACAAGACTTCCTTAAATTTTCCCTGGTAATGGGGTTAGACTAACAGGCCTGTAGTTTCCTGTGTCTTCCCTCATGCCCTTCTGGTTAACTGTGATGTTTCCAGCCTTCCAGTCAGCAAGGTTCCCCGCTTTTGACTATCAAGAGAAAGCTCCTYCAGTGTTCTGGGATGAATCCCATTAGGCCCCTTGGACGTACAGAAGATTAAACTGATACAACTGCTCATTTACAATTTCAGCATCCAGAAACGGAAATTCACTGCYGCTATATGTCTTGTAAGTGAGAGGACTGGCCAGACCAATGTCTACCAGTGTTATTAAAGACTGGGGCATTATGTCTCTGCCATTTCTTCACCCTTTTTGTTAGGTGACTATCTTCGGTAAGTGTTGGGTGAATATTTTCCTTAGATCTCCTCTTGCTCTAAACATACTTTTTTTTATTTTTAATTTTTTTTTTTTTTTTTTTTGTTATTTTTTTTTTTTTTTTTTTTTTTTTTTTTTTTTTTTTATTTCACCCAAGGCTGGCCAGTTTCAACTCTGAGCTTTGAACTTTTGTGTTTTTCCCTATATGTCGGAGTCACAGCTCTGTACTCTTCCTGTGAAACTTGACCTCGCTTACAGTGATCATACAATTTCTTTTCTTCATGAGTTCCACAAGGAGTTCCCCATTCAGCCAAGCTACTGTACTGTCATTCTTTCTTTACTTTGGGCACAGTGTGATTGCTTGCTCCTATGCTTCTAAAAGGTCATTCCTAAAGACTGACCAGCACTCATGGATCKCTAAGCCCTGAAAATCAGATTCCCAGAGGACACTACTAACTAGCTCCCTGAGCAGTTTAAGATTTGCTGTCATGACATCTAGGATAGCAGCTCTGCTGATTTTTTTTTTCATTTACACTAAATATTTAAAACCATCATTTTCATGATCACTGTGGCCRGAAAAGCTACCTAAAATCCCATCTTCTCTATTCATGAACAGTAAATTGGGGTCTGGGGGGAGGCATCTTTTCTAGATGGCTCAATGAATGCTTATAACAAATTATCTTCAGCATACTTCTGGAATTCTTCAGACTTCCTTGTCACAGTTGTCTGGCATTTTCAGTTGATGTCTGGGATGTTGAGATTTTCCATAAGGACAAGAACTACTGATCCAGATATTTCTCCTCATTTTCTATAGATTAAATAATCAATGCTAGCATCGTGGCTGATTGAAATGTCTACTGCTTAGTGTCTTCTAAGCAGTAGACACTTAGAATGAAACTTTGTTTTCCATCTTCCTAATTTCTCACTCAGAGGCTTTCAACCACATTATCACTAACTGTAAAGAATGTACAATGAAATCTGTCCTATCAATGCAACTCCTTTGCCTTACCTGCTTGTCCCTCCTGAACAGCCTTTAGCTCTGCATCCCAACACTCCATCATGGGACCATTCTACCATTAATCCCAATGATATCAGCTCTGGGA